CAGAAGTGAAGATCAGATGCTTTTAGAGCTTGTTCAAGAGATGAGAGTAGGAAGTCATATCCCGTACAAGAAAAGTAAGTGACCTACAAGGGGAAATGTTTTCCGTTCACTCGTAATGATTGTTTTATTTTAATTCTCCCAGGCTTATGTCTGATAATGTTTTTTCACGCTAGAACAGCCAGCCTGCTCTGATTCAAGGAATTAATGAGGTTTTTCCTATGAATTCTCGTTGTGTACCATTTCTTTGAGTATATAAACTGAAAATTACATGTTCTGCTTATGGCAGTCCTGGATTTGAAAATACCACAGTTACAATGTAAGTAAAGGAAGAAGCACTGTTTGCAGCAGACATTAAAATAGACCTTTGCCTTTCTAGTTGCGTATTACATGGAAGGAAGAGATTCTGCTCAGCTGATTTACCGGTGGACAAAGAGCGTGGACCCTAGTTTGAAGAAAGGACCCTGGACACCAGAGGAAGATGCTGTAAGCTCCGTTCTTTGATGACTAGAATTGTGGGGTGCAGAGGGTGGGAAGGTTGGACTGCTGAGGTGTTACATGTCTGCTACATCTGAGCTTTAGCAGTGGCACAAACAAATGTACAATGGAACAAGATGGGCTTAGAACATCCTAAACGCGGCTGTTCAGAGATTGACAGCACAGTGGGAACAAACACACCTGCTCCTGTCTCAGGCCCGTTAGGATTATTACTGATGAAAGTTTCAACTCTTGCTGTGTGTGGTTAACGTAGATGCTGTTGGCTGCAGTTAAGAAGTATGGAGAGCGTGACTGGTACAAAATCCGGACAGAAGTGCCAGGGAGGAGCGATGCTCAGTGCAGAGATCGGTACGTACGCTAAATGTAACAACTGTGCTTTCAAGTTTATGGCATGGAGTCAAGGTGCAGCTTATTTTACAAATACGGTTGATTTGCTCAAACTAGTTTCACCTTCGCCACTTCTTACAAAACAGCCTGAGTACAGTCGCTAACGTTGTGTCCACAGAACCCTGCGTTTGTAGTTACAGAAGTCAAAAAGTTGACGTTGAATTTAACAGAACCGTGCATTGTTGCCTGTGACTTAGCAGAAGCTGGAAGGATGTTCAAGATAAATCGAAGGGGTTGTTAAATGTGAGTGAATACACACAGGGAGGGAAGGTTGTCATCCAGGTATTGCCTGGGCGTCTGCAAAAATGATCTTGTCAGTGACTTCCTGTAACTGAACATCGGGAAGGAGAAGTCACTGAACATCGGGAAGGAGGTGCTGAGTAATTTTCAGCTTTGGACTCAACTTCAGGAGACTCAGCGTGCAGTATGTCCTCATTTCAGTGACCCGTTTTACAGCTGCTTGTTGTAATTCTTAATTGCGTGGCCTGATATTTTTAGGAACAAAGGGATTGTAGCTGTGCTGTATTAAGGAAGAAGGGATGAGGCCCTTTACAAAAAGGAAAGATCTGAGAGCGAGTGCTGGTTTTGTTCAGCCTCAGGGTATGTGGTGATGATCAGAACTGTACAAGCCAAACTGAATGTTCCTTTAACGTTTTCACTTTGAAGGTACTTAAAAGCGTTGCACTGTGATGTAAAGAAAGGCAAGTGGAGTTTAGAGGAAGAGGAGCAACTAATTGAACTGGTTCAAAAGCATGGCCTGGGTAAGTGTTTCTGTGGCTTAATCTGAAGAAGCTTAGAGAAGTATTATTAAGGAATTTATCATATAAGTTTTCTCTTTTAAGGCCTGCAGCTCGTACCAGCAGGCTCTGCTTCATACAAATGATTGTAGCCTTCCTTATACTGTGTAGTCTGTTTCTGGAAATTCAGTTATTGTGGGATTGTATAGTAAAGAATTCTATAGGAGTGTTAGCAAAACTTCAGAGCAAGTTCCCCACTAAAGAGCCTGTGAAGAAGTTCTTTTATTTCTTTAACAGAACTTCCCATGACAAACTGAAACTTTTTGACATTTGATTTAAGCTTTCCTCTAAGTGCTCTCTTACTGCTGCAAGGGAGTGTGTAGTTTTGCTGGGGTTTTCATCACTGGTTCATTTGTTGTAGTTTCTAACTTGAGCTGAGTGCATAGTAGTGCAAAATCTGATCAGAGAGCACTAATGAATGTTAAGATTTTGAGATGCGTTTGTATTGTAACTCTGTTTCTTGTACAAGGGAACGTATAGCGTGCGTATAATGTGTGTATAATGCTCTGCACCGAAAAGGCCTGTCGCTCAGTTTGTTGCATTAACAGGTGTGCTCTATTCTCATCTTTTTTAGGTCACTGGAGTAAAATAGCTTCTGAATTGCCACATCGCACTGGCTCCCAATGTCTAAGCAAGTGGAAACTTATGATTGGGTCTAAGGTATTGTACAAAATCCTGCTGTGTCACCTGTCTCATTTCTTTAAGATTCTCTAAACTAAAAGGAAAATCCTGTGAAGTCAATACAAAAAATGAACATTGATTTCACACAGTCAAGGTGTTGTTTTAAAGCAGCTTTTGTTCTGAAGGTCTGAAGTTAATTTGAAAAGTGGCTAAAACTTGTCCGTGCTTTTTTTTACCGAGAAGAAAAGATCTAGGCCAACAAAACGCCGACACGTACAAGAGAGTTCCAGCTCTTCAGAGAGCAGCAGTGAAGACATCGAACTGGATTTAACAGACAGTTCGGAGGAAGAGACGACAAGCAAGGAGGAATGTGCGTTTCCCAGTATTGATTTGTGGGTACCAACACGGACAAATACACAGGAGTCCAACAAAGGCAGGTACCAAACTCCATCCCTTTTCTCTCCTGTGAGTGCTGATGTGAAGACCAGTAGCAGCGAAGTTCCAGTTGCAGCATCTGATGGAGACAAGGACAGAGCTATTGATAAACCGCTGGAGTTGAACACCCTCCTGAGGGGCATCGCACGCCCGCATTCGACAGACGTTGTCGTGGAGGATCCAGTAGAAGCAATGAACAAGGTGAATCCTGGGATTCTCAGTTGGTTCTTGTTGGGATTGGAGCTTTTAGATCAGAAGCGACCGGGCAGTGCAGTTGTTGCAGTAGAGAGTCGGTGATGGGTAGATGGCAAATTCCAGTTCGTGCCTCCGTTGGCTGCTTTCTCACTGTGCCGTTGGGGGGTGCTGCTGGAAACTGAGCTGTGGCATTAAACAAAAGTTTCCAGCGCTGCCTCCCCGTGCATTACCTAGAAAATAGCTGTATTGTTTCCTGCATGGAGCCCCAGAAACAAACCTTTTTTTTAGATCTTCATAAAGAAGAACTGTCTAGTGAATTGTGGTGTCTCTCTACCCTGGTGACAAGGTGTGTCAGCTTTGAGACTGGAAGAATTAAGTTATTTATCCATCTGTATCTGATTTTCGGCTGGGTTTTCTCCCCAGATCAGATGCTAGAACAGTACAAACCCTCCTAGCACATGTTTGCAGAAGATACTCCTTAGCAAATTATTAAATGTCTGAATTGCTCTTTAAGTTCACATAAGCAAAATTATTCTCACTTTTGCATTAAGAGGTGCATATGTGCCCTAGACTGCGGGGCCAGTTGCACCGATGACAAGTTTGTTGGCTACGGAAGTGCTGTGTTCTGGGGGTTATACTTTCCCTTTTATCTTTTCTTGTGTGCTTTTGTATTAAGGCTTCCAGGTGTGGAAAGCAAGTGCTGCGAGTTACCCTGGAGAACGTGAGAAGAGCATTAAGACATAACACGTGCTTTCTGAGGAAACTTGTAAGTGCCTCTTCTGTCTTGTCTGCTCTTGTGATGTCAGCGCTGCCAGGGGGTATTTAGTGGGAAATATTTTTGAATGAATCACATATCTACTTGTACTTCCCAAGAGGAAAAACACATAAATTTTTTTCGTGGATAGTTTGTCCTGGGGCTAATTGTGGTAGAACCGTCCTAATTAAAACTCTAATTATATATTTATTCATACACAGCAATTGAAGATGCTAAAACCTTCTGCCAACGCTTTAACAAAAATATCTGGAGTTAGTCCATCTGTTGGCCAAAAGCTTGAGGGGCAGCAAAACATCACAGAGAAAACTTATCGCCAGGAGAGAGAGCGTTGGAGAAGGCTGAACCTTGACAGAAAGCTTCTGATGGCAGTGACACCTTGGGTGGGCAATGTGCTGCTGCCTTGCACCTTGCAAACTGGGAAGATGGCTTTTCATCAGACAAAAGGTACTGGTGACCCATTGAGAGCAGTATTACTCCTACTTTCTGTCACTACTTGCCAGTATCTTGTGAATACCAGCTCATCTGGATGTTGGACTTTTTTTCTAGCTGATTCTATTCAAGAGAAGATCAAGTCGATCGGTCTTAGGAGCACTCCCCTGTTCACACTTCTCATTCAGGTGGGTTTTACAGTCTAAATACCATTATCTGCTTTCCAACAGTGGTAATCTTTATTTCTGTCTCTGATGCTTAAATAAATGGTTTACCTTTGTTTCTTAAACAAATCATGTCATCAGTGGATTAATCTGACCTCATGGCTTGTGTGTGATGTTTCTTAAATAAATCCTGCACCCAAAATCTGATACTGTCAGGACTTCTGTGCGTGTAAAAGAATCTTTGCATGTGAAGCCTCTCCCATCCATCTGGTTCTGTCACTGGTCCCACCAGATCATTTTTGTTCTCGGTCAAATTTTAACGGAATTCTTATTATCTTGAAGCTCTTTCAGATTGATACCAATGGCTGCATGAAGATTATTCGTGAGAGAAGGTTAAGGCAGTCAGAGCTTCTTCGGGCTAATGCAGGCAGGCCTCAGCAGGTATTGTGCATGGTCTGTTTGTAAGCTTTTCCCACTGAAGTCTTGACTAAAGCAGAGATTTATTTCTTTTTTATTTTTTTTTAATTGTGTGGCCAGTGTGTGTCTGTTTTCCGTTTGGTTTTGTTCAGAAGTATTATAAAATGCCAGCCATGTGGCCACTTGTATAGCGTGTTGGCAGATGTGGGTTTGCTTCACATCTCTACTGTTATAATGATCTTAAGGTATCTCAGAAGTATAACTGAATATAATTTTTTTGGCAGGCTTCCCAAAATATGGAGACTTCTTCAGGTACCTACCAGAACATTTATTTTTATGATGTGCGAGAACTTTTCCTAATTCATCACCGTTACATTAATGACCGGTTTAACTGAAGGAGAACTTTTGGTACAAAACTACGTTGTCATGCTTCTTTTTGCTAGCTCTTGGATTTTTCAGTTATTGGCTAAATACGTTACCTTTTGGTAAGGACTGGAAAAAATCCTGAAGGGCTGGGGGACCAGTGGCACTGGGCCACCAGTTCTATAGACCCGCTGTTAATGCTTTTTTCCAGCAAGGTGCTGGCTGTAGGTTCTAGGGAATGTGCTGGCACTGACCAGTTGTTATCCTGGCTGGATTCTTAGCCTGTTTGTGGTTTCCTGGGGAAAATCACGTCATTACTGAGCGAGTGGTAAGCTTGCTGCATCAGAATTATCTGAAGGGTGTCAGGATGGGGCTTGATTAAATCAAGAATCAGGAATTTTACTACTTTCTGTGCAGGGTACTCAATGCTTTATAGCTAAGAAATGACTTTTGTAAATGCTGTTCAATCCTTTAATTTTTTTTAAATTTTATTTCCCTTCCTCTACAGGCAGTTCATCACAATCTTGTGCTCAGAAGGACTCCCGAAGGGGCGTACCAAGAAGTGCTGTCACCAGACCTGTTGCCTTAAAAGCAAGGGACACCTCCACTTCTGTCTCGGAGAGCAGCACTCCTGCTGTGCAGGGAGCTCTTCCAGCCCAAGTGCAAAGGCAGAAGCCTAAAACTGTCTCAGAATTACTGAGAGAGAAACGGCTGAGAGAATCCCGGGCTAAGAAGGCCATGCAGAGGACAGTATTTGTTGCCCCACAGATGCTGGTTTCGGGGCCTGTGATAATCCAGCCCCAGCAGATCATTCCTTCTGCACAAGCAGGCAGCAAACCTGGAGCAGTTGGTTGTACAACTGGCCCAGTACAGTGTGCACCAGCTCCACTGCCAGCATTTACTTCTGTCGCAGGTTCAGCTTCTGCTGTTGTGCTTGACAAACATTCCTCATCAGTGCCAGGAACTGGGGAAAACCCTGGTTCCTCACAACGGACAGAGATGCAATGCGATAAGGAACTCAAGGAGGAAGCTTTGGAAACTGGCCCCCCTGAAGGAGGGTTTTTTCCAGGTGTGAATCCAGCGGCAGCAGAGAAGGCCCCAAATCAGGGAGGGTGCAGGAATCAGGTCCTGGCTGGTAGCTCAGCTTCGGTAGTGTTGCAAAACCCAGCTTTTGTTCCACATGGGATTGCAGTGGTGCCTGTCGGCATCGAGTCTGGCACCAACAAACTCTCTCTCTCCACCCCTGTTCCCTGTGAGCTGAACAGCAGTGGGCCCCAACAGAGGCCGGTCGGTCTGCTGCCTGCTCTTGTCACTCCACCAGCTGCTTCCCATTTGCTTCCCAGCAGCATCCTGCCTTTCACCTGGGTCGTGACACCACAGGCTCTGCTCCCCACTGCTCTGCAAACTGTGGTGCGGCTTCCCCAAGGGCTGCCGGCTCCTGCTGACACAAGTCAGTGTCAGGCGACTGGGACTTGTAGTGGCAGCTCTGGCTTGGGAGTGCTTGCTGTGCCAGCTGGAGCAAACACGGCTCAGCCCAGCAGTGCAGAGACAAAAGCATCGAGTGCCCCGTTGACAGAAGCAGTGCCCTGGGGAAAGCCAGCTGACCCTTCCGCAGTTCTGCGTGTGACCTCGGCGAGTCCCGAATGCGGCTCATTGAGCGTTTCTTCTGCAGCGCCTGCACGTTCAGAGGACTCCTCCAAGGCTTCTGGCTCTGCTGCAGCTGAAACTTCTCTTCCACCTGATGCAGCGGCCCCGCGTGCCGTGCTGTTCCCCCAGACACAGCTCCCTGTAAGCACACAGGGGTCTGACTCCCAACATGCATCAACTCTGTCTCGCTTGGGAAAGAGCTGTGACTCCATTACAACAAACCGATCGTCTTCGAGTATCATCACGAAAGGGACTGTGCTCCAGCCAGGAGATCCAGTTTCCCGCACCAATGTCCCGAGGAACTCCGATGGCTCTGCTGCACGAGCACTGAAAAACAGACCTATTGCCTCCAAACCTCCAGCTGTGCAGCCCGCTGCCAGTCCGCCCCAGCCAACCACTTCCAGTGCGGAAAAGAATCTGCCTGACTTTAGCCTGATTTCCCTTGAGGATGAGGGGCTAGTGAAGGAGTGGCTGAATGGGAAACAAGGTGTGCAAGTACCATCACTGCAAACCAGGTTGCCTTACTTACCACCTTTCCTGTGCAACTTAAAAACTCTCTCCAATCTGCTTCTGCAGAAAGCAGCTCTGGAAGAGCAAGCGGCACGTCTTCTGCCTTCCGATGCTGGTCAGGGTGAGGGCACTGGCGTGGATTTACACGCTATCACAGAACTGGTGCAGCAGCAACTCGGTGATAACCCTGCTTATCTCCTGCTGAAAGCCAGATTCCTGGCAGCCTTTACGCTCCCAGCTGTCCTAGCAACTCTGCCTCCTCCGAAAGTGACAACAACTCTGTCAGCCAGCAGGAAGCAATATGAAGAGAGCGACGAAGAGGAGTGGCAGAGTGAGAAGGAGGTGTCTGAGGAAGAGAGTTGTGAGAATGAATTAACAGGTGCCCGGCTGGACGGGACGGTTAGGGATGAGGCTGGAGGCGAAGATGCTGATTTACTGAATCAGGTAAAACAGAGGTGCAGGGCCTAAAAGCAGTGAGTTACTACCAGCTAAATATTGCACTGGAGTCCAGAGTGAAACCCCCACAGTGTTTAAGTGTAGCAGAAATTTGGTCCTTTTGAATAAGTGTGGTTTGGAAGTTGTGTCCTCCGACCTGCATTTTAATTCTTTGTGGCTCCAAAGTAAACCAACAAAATACTACTGAAGGTCAATAAGCGAGGTAAATGGCTGTTTCTACAGAATGAGAGTAAAGCTGCCTAAAAATCAGAGCTGTCCCACAGTCAGAGCCAGCAGTCATCTTTCTGTTCTGGCTCTGACTTTTGAGTGTGGGCCAAGTTCAGTGTAGCTTGAACTGTGAGCAGTTGGTCCAGAAGTCACCAGCAGTTCTTCACCGCTGACCTTACTGCCGGCCTCTGTCCTGTGTCGTCTTCCGCCCAACTCCCTTCCACGCCTTTTAGTAACGCTACAGTCAGGTGGTTTTCCCAGTGCTTTTCAGTGAAAAAGGGATATGTTTTATGTTCTCCTTTTATGAGAAATAAGTTCATGTTGACCCGTGTTGTCTGGGGCACTGTCTGGCTCCAGCAGTGAAAGCTAAAGCATCACTTGGGGCAGGCTTGTGACTTCCCTAGAGAACAGTTGTGCCCAGAGTTGCTCTAGTTGGGAAGCAGATTGTTCTGGAAATCTTGCTGAGCTCCACAAAATAAAAAGATGGCTGAAGGGTTCTTTTGCAATTGCTCTCGCGGTATTGAGAGCCTCTTCTGCTTACCTTGCAGGACATGGGAGCTGAAGAGAACGCTGCACAGCCTGTCCTGGACTCCTGCACCGATGGGGCTGATGCCGGTGCTCCCCAAATCAGGAGAAGTGCCCGCTCCAGGAAGAGGAGGAGGATATGAGAAGGTAATATGTTAGTAGCTACTCAGTGATTCCTGCATTTCTTGCTTGAGAGCCTGGAGCGTATTTGTCTGTGGTACAGCTTAGACAGTGAATGAGGACCCTAGGAAAGGACTGAAATTTTCTCTACTTCCTGGAGGATACAGTGTTACAGTCACTCGTTAATCATAGACTAAGGCTAGTACTTGGATTTTCTGGGGGAGCAAAAGTTGATATCTGCATGATAAAATTGCAGACAAAAGTCATGAAGTTCAAACATTGGGCAGGCTCGTAGTCCACGCTAATGCCTACTGGTATTACACCTAGAGGGGTGCTAAACCCCTGCAGCAGAAGCCCAAGTAAATCCTTGCTGCAGGTCCCAGCAGACCGGTGGGAATGTGTCCTTGCTCGGGGTTGTCGGGCGATCCTCTAGGTCCTGGGCAGGTAGCCCAAGTCTTTGTGTCGTTTGCTCCCTGTAGCCTGGCTGGTGAGTCTTGAAGTGAAGAATAGGATTAAGAGCTGGTGGGAAGCTGAGGCTTAAGACTGATGGGTACCTCGGTGGTTTGTCTAACCCTTGATCTTTGAACAGCTTGGTGGAGTTGTTTTTCCACCTGTATGGCTTCATTTCTCTGCCTGTGTAACAGGACGGCTTCTATAGGGTGATAGGAGTGTGTGAAGTGTTAGTATGTGTTGAGGCTTTTGGTGAAATAGGCCAAATGAACACAAGCAGTGTTTGATTCGCATAGTTACCAGATGGAGACCGTTTGGGTTCTTTAAAACTGTTTTTAGAAACTCCGAAAGGGCAGTTTCCCTATAAAAGGGCTATGACTAACAGGCCTTGTTTGTGCTTTGTTCCAGGAGCCACTTGAACGCGACCCGCCTTCCTGCGTGGCAGCAGGAGGTGCTCTTTGCACTGTTCACTTTTAACCCTTCCAACAAACTGACCAGATGGACCTGGGGAAGAGAGGAGAAGGGCTTTTTCCATTGCCTGACACAGTCTGTGTCGTCAGCTGAATTACACATAATGAAACGAAACAGCTGGAGAGAAGTCTGTCAGGCATAAACCAGTACTGTTCCCTTTCAGACTGGCCCCTGCTGTAGATGCTGTGGGGGAAGATTGCTGGAGATCTCGGGGGAAACCAGCAATGATGGTTATTTATTTCCTTTTTCTGTTAGCCCCTATTTATGTGACCCTTTCTCTGTGTTCAGAATGTGTTGTTCACTGGGTGTTTTTTTAGTGCTGTGACAGTGGTTTTGCTTGATAGCTGCCTGAATGCTGCTGAGTAAGCAGCAGATTAATTTTGTATCAAAATGAGTCTTGAGTATTTGTTGAAATACAGATGTTTTATTTTTCTCACTTAAAAATTATTGATGTATTCTGTGTCTTTTTTTTACTGCTAAATAGTGTTTTAATAATGTGTGTATGTGTGTGATTGCTAATGAGAAGAAGTTTGCAAGCTGCATGAAAACCAGGGAGAATGGAGAAAACAAACATGCACATGGCTAAAACTTTAGGCTTGAATTGGGCTTAGATTCTCTCTTGATTCTGCCACAGCCTGCCCCGTACAGACATTAGCAAATCACTTAACGAAAACTTGTTTCTTCATTCCCAAAACAGCAATTCCTGTCTTGGAGAGAGGTGCAAGGAGACAAAGCTGATAACATTTAGTGGGAAAGTGCTGCAGAAAGCTTCATTCCACTGCACTGGCTCAGCTTCCCGAGAGTGGGGGTGAGGTCAGAGCGCTGGGAGGGACAACTCTTCTATGCAGGGGGGTCCCTTTGGGCAGAGCTGGGGTCGGTGACAGTGGGTACCAACATTAATTGGGTGTCAAGATATGGTGGAGGAAAAGGAAGCGTTTTGGAATGGCTTTCCTATTGCCGTGCACCCTATATCCAATGAGCCAGTGTAGATAACACTTTTCCAAGAAGTTCAGATGTGGCAGAAACTGCTCTGCAGTTCTGTGTGCTCTTCACCACACGGCGGGTGAGGGGGAAAAAAAAAAAAAAAAAAAGGCTTAAAATCATGAAGCCCAAAGTTTGGCCATGCAGAAGCCCCAGCCAGGCACCAGTGTAAGTGTGACCTGTGCTCTAAGTGGTTGTTGTCCTTTGCAAACGCCCCTCGAGAGATGCCCTTGTAATCCTAACTGCTTGTGGAAAAACCTTCTGTAAGAAGCAGCTGTCTCTGTTCTTTTTCAGGATAAACTGATCTGTTACTGTGGAACCGAGCCTGAGGCTAGATGGGTCCATTAGCAGACGTTCTGGTTACCTGCAGCAAGGGCAGAGCTAATAGAAGTACCGTGTCTTGTTTTAGCATAAAGCTAATTTAATGCCTAGCGAGAAGCACAGCCTTGAATCTCTGAGCATCTCTGCTCCCCTCCTAGTGATAACACGGAGAAACTCTCTGGAAACTTGGGAAGTAGAAAAGAGTGGGAAGCTAATGGGAAAATGTGTCATGCTGCCATGGTATCGGAGCACATATAATCTCAAGACTCTTTTAAAGCAGTCTTGGTGAGTTCTTGTTGCAGCTGCTCTTCAAGGACTGTGGGAAGGCAGGGAGTCCAGTCAGAGGGATGTTGTGGGTGCTTAACATCATCACAATGCTGCTTGCTCTGCTGCTCCTTTATCTGCTGTTAGAGCCACAGCCTGGAATTTGGGAATCGTGGGTTATGTTCCTTGCTTTGCCGAGGCTTGAATCCCTTTCACGCAAAATCCTGAGTTGTCGTAATTGTGCTTGAAGCTTAAGGACATCCAAAATTAGAGGCATCATTATAGAAATCATCCTCTTCAGCTGAACGCTAAACCAAGAGAGAGTTCTTGCTGCCACCTGCTTTCTGCTTATAAAAGTAGTATGTTAGGAGCTGAAAGGCCATTTGAACTGTTTCTTCTGACTCCATGGCTTGTTTTGTCCCCTGAAATCAGCTGGACAGACCTAGGCCTGTGACCCTCACTCTTTTTAGTCTTTCTGACCACTGCACAAAGAAATGTTGTGGACCCTCGCTGGCACAGGTTGGAAAACAAAGCCAGAATGAATCTAAACTCCCTGCAAAAGGAATGCTGATCACTTGCAACGTGACCAGTGGTTTTCTCCTCTGCCATCACCCATTCTGGCTTCCCTTTTTTTTTTTTTTCCTTCTTCCATTTCCTGTCTCAGAGCGTAGCTGAGTAATTTCCCCTTTTTTCTCAAATCAGTTTGTTCCTGGAACGATCTTTACTCTAGCCACAGACTGCATCCAAGACCAGTTTCCCAGACAGGACACAGACAAGTGTTGCCAGGCCAGGAGAGGAGACAAGGAGGCTTTTGACTGTACAGACTCAGGTTGGTCCATATAACGCAACATGGTTTATACTAACAGGGAAAATGTCTTTATTCTGCAGCTCTGAGGTAAGGACATGGTGTTTATCAACAAGGGAATGCATTTCTTGTATCTCCTGGGGCTGGTTTGAGGCCAGGCAGAAAAGACTTTTGTGGGTGTTAGACTGAGTGACTGTGTGGTCAGACAGCAGACAGGGATCTCTCAAATGCTGGGAGGT